GGATGGCTTGTTCTTGCTTTTATGGGTTGGAGAGATAATATCATCCTCAGGTCCTACATTTTATAAGATAGCAAAACAAACCACAGGGGCCTGTAGGTGCTTCCTGATCTCAGGTGAAAGGGTCAGGGGACATGAAGAGGCTCTAGATCACAGTGGAGGCTCTCTGTAGAGAGGCAGGCAGCACGGAGGGTGTCTGTCCACCACTTCAGCTGTAAGGCATCCTGAGGTAAAGCATCACACAGAATTATGAGTCAGGGCCATGGAGTCACAATTATATCTAAAGGGCCAGTCCAGAGGGACAGAGAAGTCAGCCAGCTTACTCAAGGCCTGCAATATACCAACATTTAATATTCTTTTTTAAGAAATATTAAAACATTTCTTTTTTAAGAAATATTAAAACAAAATTATAGTTGTTATATAATATTATATCAGTGTCAGGTATACAACTGAGTGATTAGCATTCATATAACTTAAGAAGTGATCATCTGATAAGTGTAGTAGCCATTTGATATTCTTACGAGACTCCTAGTGAGTTAGATATTATGACTGATTTTTTACACATAAGATGAGGCTAATGAAGGTGGAAAATTCACTAGAGACCAAATGGCTAGTAGAACCAATGCGCAGAGGAGCCACCCTCCCTTCTGCCTGAGTCAGGCTTGGTTACAGCTCTGGTGGGCTGGACTCATAGTAAGAGATGAAATGGCCCCAGTTGCAGGTTAGGAGGTGTGCAAAGGCTTGGAGTAAAGCAGGACTGATGACAGACCAAGGTCACAATGCAGGAGAAATTGGCTCTGATGGAGTGCAGACCCCCCGGGTTTCAGTTCTGGAACCTTTCCCTAGTACTGTGCTGTGTGGAGAGAATTGTCATCTGTACCACTTCTGGGATTCTAGGCTTGATTAGGAAGAAGCCTCATGTTTGGACTGATGAAAGGCTAGAGTGGGAGGGTGGTTTGGGGCTTCAGAAGTGAGGCAAGGCTCTCTCACAGTGAAACAAACTGCTTCTTGACTCATCAATCTGGTGAGGTGGTTCAGCCTGGCAACTAAGACTGCATGCTCCTAGCAATGAGGAATTAAGATCCTGTCCCATTTCGTTTTCTTTCAAGAATGGGCCTGGTGAGTGAGTGAGTACTGATTTCAGAGCTAGGTTGCTGCTGTCCTCTGGTCTCAAAGGATAGAGCCTTTGGGTGAACCCAATACCCAAGTCCCAGTCCATGTCTGATTTGCACTAACTACTCTCAGGGCAACAGAGTCCCATCCCAGCTGCCATTTCTAGACCTTCATCCCCTCTGCACAGCCCTGAACACTTCTCCAGAACTTCCTGTTTGCCTGTGGCTGCACAAACACAGCTGGTCCCACCCAGGATCATTTTGTTTGGCCCAGGGCAAGAGGTGGGAGACAGCTCTGTTCTCCTCCTAGCTCCTTTGGGTTTTCTCCATCCATACACACATAGCCTCAGGGTCTGATGGGAGTGGTCCCAGAGGCTAGTGGAGTGGAAGGTCAAGGTGACCCAGAAGGGCCTGTGGCCAAGATCCTTAAAACTTTTATTTTTTTTTTATTTTTTTTTGACTTTCCAAAATGTCCGGGTACGTGATGACTTCAGGACATAGTGTTCCAGAGCAAGCTGGAAGGAGGAACATAGTCCACTTGGTTGTGGTGATGGAGAAAAAGCACACCAAGGGCGGGGTGTTTGAGCTCCACCACTGTGAAAAGACCCCTGTGCTATCTACCGATGTGCCTGCCCGGTGGTTGCTGGGCCTACAGGAGCTATCAACAGAGAGAAGGAATGAATGTTCCTGGAGGGCAGGGGCTAAGTCAACAGGAGCATTGGAAAATTTCCAGCATGAGCCTGGAAAATGTTCTTACTGCAAAAGTTTTCTGGTTGGTCACCATTCCTTCTCCAACTTGTCCATGAGGGCAAAGACTGCAGTCACCAGGCAAGAAAGAGCTTGGCTGTCCTGATGGGCCGCCATTCGCCACATGCCCATCCTAGTCATTAATTACTTTGTGTTTAGAGAATTGTTGAAATATAATATTGTATTAGAACAGTTTGGGGATATACTTGTCCAGAAAATGACAAAAACATGCTTTTGAAGCTGAGGGCTCGGGAGCCCAGAGAAGTCCATTTGGGGTTTCTCTATGCTGAAAGGACTTTGTTCTGTGACAGTAAATGAGGGAAGACAAACAGAATACTAAAGGAAAAAAAAGAAATGTTGCCTACAAGGTTGTGTAGAAATGTTGCCTACAAGGTTGTGTTATCTAGCATCTTTGGTTTTTCAGAGCTATTCTCCAACACACTGTGCTCCTCCATGCCTCGGGAGGCTGGCCTTTATATTTAGTATCATGTGGGATCCCTTTCTGCTGGCTTCCAGTTCACTGTGACCTATGCAAGCACAAGGAGGAGATTGGAGGGCATTGGAGAATGCCAGGGGGGTTTAGTTCTGCTTCTGTAGCTATGATCTTCCCTAGTACAGTCTTTACCAAGAGGCCCATCTGCCAAATACACAGTTTTGCCTCTCCTGAGGCTCCATGTAGTTCATTTGACCCTCAGACCCACCATTGTTTGTTTCTAGATGTCTCATTTGTATGAATAGCCCTTTCTGTCAATCTTCATTTGAGCTCTCTGCAGGATCTGCTTTCCTGGGGGATTCTGACCAACTTCCTGAGCAGAATAGTTTCTTGGGGGAAGTAAATTTCACACTCAGAACTGTTGCTCTCCTAGTTCCTGTCTCTTGCCTTTACCCTATAGGAGAGGTTGTTTCTGTGTGTACTGTCAATCTGAAAGATGGCAGAGACAAGGCGAAGTAGTGAACACAGTGTGGAAGGGGAGCTATGTGTGAAAGCATTTGAAGGCCCATGGCAGGCAGCACAGCAAGGAGTGGCAGGGGCAAAAATGGAAAAGGTGGGAAGGAATCCAGCTCAGATTGTGGGGTGTCTAACTGACACTAACTTTAGGGTTTTCTTAGCACAGCAAAGCCTTGACTAAGGTCATCCCTTATTCAAGCTTCCTGGCTGGACTATTTTGGTCCCATGCAGGACTGTTCAACTCCTTCCTCCACACAATCCTCCTGCCCCCTTTCCTTGTTGAGTATTGGTCTCTAATAAACATCTTGCATCAAAGTTTTTGCTTCCTAGATAAGTTTAAAGTAATTTATAGCTGGAGTAGCAAAGGCTTGACATTAACTGATTTTGTGTGTTGCAAGGACCTTAATCTTTCTTTACATGGAAACAGAGGAACTCCCAGAGGGCACAAGAGAATGCGAGATGGCCATTTCTGATTAGGGAGTCTAGATCAGACTGTTTATAAAGAGCTTTGTGCAGTCACACTATGAACAAGGCATAATATGGAGGCTGAGGTTTATGGAGTATCTCTCTCTCTCTCTCTCTCTCTCTCTCTCTCTCTCTCTCTCTCTCTCTCTCTCTCCTCCATCCCCCCAAAGTAGAAGCTGGAAATATTAGGAGGGTAGTATAAATTCAGTTCAGTGGCTGTGTACCTAATGCTAAGGGGAGATTTGAACCTGAACCTGACAAAGGGATCAGTCTATGCATTCTCTACTGAAAAATCACTGATCCTTTTTGTACTACTAGACTCTGACCTACAGGGATTTTAATCTCTGAACATTCAGTACCGGCATGCCTCACCAATACTTCATTAAAAATACAATTTGGTCACTTGGTTCCATGTCACAATCCCCACTGTTGGAAAAGTAAACTTCATGTCTAACCTTATCCTCATTTCTTCCATGTCACAATCCCCACTGTTGGAAATGTAAACTTTATGTCTAACCTTCTCCTTATTCCTTCCTGGTTGCAAACAACCAAGTGGGTGGCTTGGTTTAAATGAGAGTCTCAATTCCAGCTTGTGCCACCCTGGTAGTGACTCTTAGGCAACAGGAAACAATCATTAAGAAAAATATTACCCCCAGTGTCGAGGTTCCTGGCTGAATCATATGAGAACCCAAGATCAAGGTTTTTTTTCCTGTCAATGATCAATATAGGTCCATCCAGATGGAGGTAATTCCTACTTCCGGAAATTCTTTTTTTTTTTTTTTTTAAATATATTTTATTGATTTTACACAGAGAGGAATTGAGAGGGGCAGAGAGTTAGAAACATCGATGAGAGAGAATCATCGATCAGCTGCCTCTTGCACACCCCCTACTGGGGATGTGCCCGAAACCAAGGTACATGCCCTTGACGGGAATCGAACCCGGGACCTTTCAGCCCGCAGACCGACCTTGGCCTACTTCCAGAAATTCTAAGGTTAACTTATGACCGTCACACCATCTGGCTTGAACCTGTCCCAGGCAATATCCCCACACCATCTGGCTTGAACCTGTCCCAGGCAATGTCCCAGGCAATATCCCCACCTTTATCTTTGTTCGTTTCAAGCCCAATATAAGACATGTAGTTCCTAACAGCCTGCTAAACTTGCTCAGATGAATTAGAAGCACCTCTGAGAGTTTTCTACCTCTGGAACATGCCTTTAGCTAAACATATGGTATGTCCCTCCTTATGCTATAAACTCCTTGACAAAACCAGCTACAAAATTTATGACTCATTATTGGCACTCTGATCTCCTCTTCCTCCGATTGCTCCCTCAATATGAGACAGCATATTGAGACCAAGACCCCAATATGGCAATGGTGCATAGCCCCAACTCTGGAAAGCAGGACAGGACAAATTGCTTCAATATTTTCCAAATTATGTTTGATGGTTTCATACCATCCAATTATTCCAAGTCTGCCTAGCTCAGAAGCCCCTTTTCAACCAAAGATGAAAATAAGCATACTTTTCAGTGTTCAACATTTTATTGAGATGTTGGGGAGAAACAGCCAACATTATACATTCCTCATTTCAATCACAATTGGTATTTTACCCATAGATTAGGTTCTTTGGCTTTGATCTAACTTCAGGTCTCTTTGGCAGTCCCCCTTCTGTTGTCCTCTTGTTGCTGCCTGGTGTTGTTTGTAGTCCACCAGGGCAGAGCCCACTAGTGGGGTCACACGTGGGAGCGGTAATTGCGATTGGCTGTTGGGGAAGGACACGTTTGGAACAGGGACACCAGTTAGAACATACCCATTCATACTGTTCCTACCCCAGAATGTATTTAAATGGAAACGAAATTCTTAAGCTGAGATTTCAGGGTCCTAGGGAGAGCTAACTTTAAGAGGGAGGGCCTCTTAAACAAGTTTGACTGTTGTACTCATCCCTCACTCACCATCATCGCCTCGTTTCCTATTCTTCAGGCCGCCCTTCCGGTATTTTCTTTTGCTGCCACCTCTCTTCACTCCCTTGTGAGGAGATCTGTTCTTGCTCCTTCTCATGCCATGACTCTTTAATTTGCGGCTGGTCGACATTGTAGTTTCTGCAAAAATGAGGAGCTTTGCAGAGCCAGGAGGCTGCGAGTCTGGGTATTTAAAGGCCTTAGCCATTGTGATTGCAAAGGGGTGTGGCTCCATTGTGCTGTCACTAGCCTTTGTTACACTTAGGTCATATATGAGAAATAAAGTGGCACCTCTTAATGCAGCTCAAATTTTGAGGTCCTTTTTATGTTAATGAAGCTTTCTAGACAGGTGTTATTGAACAACTAAATTCCTGTTTTAAGCTGAGCTTCTGGAAGTGCAAGAGCCATTAATAAAGGTATCTCCTGCCTGTAGAAAATTTAAAGGTGGTTGAGTGTCTGTGTATGCATGCCTGTTTCAGTTCCTCTATAGCACTGGGAGATAATAAATGTGTTTCTCTATGGACTTGACTCTAGAAAATCCAATTTAATAGGGTCAAAACATAAACATTCCTTCCTTTTCATCTAAATCAGGATTTTTCAGCCTCAGCTCTGCTGGCAGTATGAGCTGACTAATTTTGTGGAACTGTTCTGTGCATTGTAGGATGTTTGGAAACATCCCTGGACTCTACCCATCAGATGCCAATAAAGTTCCCACACTGTGACAACCAAAAATGTTCCCAAATGCTCTTTTGGGGAGAGAGGGGAGGGAGTAAAATCACTCCTGGGTGAGAACTATTGGCTTACCCAACGGTGATAAGAAAATAGCAGTGGAGCCGAAACCGGTTTGGCTCAATGGATAGAGCGTCGGGTTGGGGACTGAAGGGACCCGGGTTTGATGCCAGTCAAGGGCATGATGTACCTTGGTTGCGGGCATATACCCAGTGGAGGGTGTGCAGGAGGCAGCTTATCAATGTTTCTCTCTCATCAATGTCTCTAACTCTCTAGCCATCTCCCTTCTCCTCTGTAAAAAAATCAATAAAATATATTAAAAAAAGAAAATAGCAGTGGATAAAAACATAAGTAGACTGTGCTTTCAACCTAGTGGGGGGGAGAAAGCCATTAATATGACATCTATACAAGTCAATGTATAATTCCTTCCCAATAGGGTACAGGATGAGGTTGAAAGAGAGGCAGAGAACAGCCTAGGCTCAAGTACATTACGAAGCTATGAAAAAAATAAGAGGATAACATGAAAAAACTACAGGCTGTTGGGTGGGGGATAAATTAATAGAGAAGCGAAGTGAATAAAGGGAGAAGCTATTGCTAATAATAAAGGTTCAAGAGAGAAATATTTGATAATGGTTTAGGCCTTCCCAGAGAAATAGGATGGAGAGAGAGACAGAAGACAATGACTTGGTGATGGATTGAATTTGGTTGGCAAGAGAAGTGGGTGTCAAAGGTATGGCTTTTGTTTCTGTCTAATGCAGCTTTCTGGGTGTTGGTACCACTCACTGGATTATAAGTCATTTTAGTTTTAAGACATTTTGGCTTTGAAATGCCTTTGAGATTTTTAAATAAAGATATTGAGTGATTGTTGTGTAGGTAGATCTAGAGCTCAGAGTAGAAGCCTAAGCCGAAGATAGTCATCATTCCTAACTTCCCTGATAATGGACTCATTACCCAATCTTTTCTTCTTCCTTTTTTATGTCTTATATCGAGTCTTTTTGGAAAAAAAAAATCAAGGTTACTCTTGATTTTTACAAAGTTACTCTTTTCTCTCTCCTCTCTTCCCTGCCATTATCCTTTCTCAAGAACCAAGCACCTAACCTGCAAGAGGTACTTAGCAAAAATTGATTGAATAAAACAGAGAATGTAGTTCAAGCTCCATTCCCCATGTTTTTGATGTCTATAAAAAAAGATGAAAAATCATGTTTGAAACTCAGTTTCAAGTGACACTATTTTTCTGTTTCCAGGCAGGCCTCTCTAGAGACTCTCTGTTAGAATCTTTTTTTTACCCAAAGAGAGGACAGCTGTACGCAACAGGTTGCTGCCTTGCCTTTTTGTACTGGAGGAACTTTTCTGTCCACTCCAGCCTTGTTTTTCTTCCTATGAACAAGTTTCATGAGAGCAGGAATTAAAAAATTGTGTTCACTGCCTTATATTCCCAGACACTGAACAGTCCTTCCACAGAATGAGAGCCTACTAAGGATTTGTGGAATATTTGTTGAATAAATTAAAAATCCTACATTCCTGACCATCATATTCTTTCTCATTTTGTCCCACATCTACAAGGAAGACTTCATTAACTTTTCAAATTTTTACTATCTTTTGAAATCAGTTCAGTCCATAGTCCTATGACATTGTCCTTAAAGTCTGGACAACCAGCCTCAATGGTATAAAGCCCTATTTTGTGCCCTCATTGTCATGTCACATTAATGAATCTGATCTAAAGAGAAGGCAGCGTGTCTCTGTTTTGGTCCTGACTGTGCCATAAAAATCACTACTCTGGATTTCAGCTCTCTTGTTTTGTAAATAGGTAGGTTTGGTTAAGTAATTTATGAGGTCACATGGCTACTGTGGCAGGCTTCCTATAGTTAGAGACTGCATTTTTATTTCTATTGCATTTCTCACAGGTTCATTCTAACCATTTTGGACAGTACCACATAGAGTGACAATGTATATCAAGTGGGAACATTTCTAGAAAAGGAAGGAAAAAAAGACATATGTCTCCATAATGAATCTTCTGGTGTTCTGTGTTGGCCTCTTATGCCTGACTGTGCTGACTTGGTGGTCTCTAGTTTAAGATGCATTTTTTGGATGGTCCAAGAGACTGGGTAACACTGCTTACCTCCAATTCTTTCCATCCCCTGAAGACTCACTCTGCCAAGGAGAAGCTGAGATCACAGGGAAGAAGGAAGCCAGACTTGAAAACTGATGAACAAAGAAGCCCCTTTACATAGGGTTAAGGAATTAGTTCTGGCTTCAGACAAAATACTGAGGAACTCCAACAGTAGAAAGCCCAGTGCTGGGGACAGTAATTCAAAGACCAGTTTGGGTGGGGATGTGGAGTGTTTGGGTTGACTTCTGTGTCAGACATTCTGCAATAAGATGAGCAGGGTTCAGCACTGGATACCTCGGCCTGTCTGTTTCTCTTTCTGCTTCTGCCCCAGTGTTGGTTGTGCCAATACAATTTAGAGAGAGCACAATGAGTTCATTCCGGACCTTCCCAAAGCTCACCTTTCCTTGAGAAACTTCTGTGAATCCAGTCTGCTATCTCCTTACCTTTTCTTCTGCTCTGTTTTACACCTTCCTTTTTAAAAAATCATTTTTAAAAAATTTTCAAATATAGTAGACATATAGTGATTATATAATATTAGTTTAAGGTATACACACCAGTAATTAGTCATTATATAACTTACTAAGTGACCATCCTAATAAATCTTGTACCTAAGTGACACCACATGTAGTTGTTAGAATATTATTGACTCTATTCTCTATGCTGTATTTTATAATCAATTTGTAACTGCCAATTTGTACTTCTTCATCCCTTTACATTTTTCACCCAACCCCCTAACACCTCTTTCATCTGGAAACTGTCAAAATGTTCTTTATAGGTATCTATAAGTCTGCTTCTATTCTGCTTGTCAATTTTGTTTTTTAGATTAAAGTTTTGGTAGGTATGTATTCATTACCATCTTATTGTTTTTTACAGAGAGGAAGAGAGAGGGATAGAGAGTTAGAAACATTGATGAGAGAGAATCACCGATCAGCTGCCTCCCGCAACCAAGGTACATGCCCTTGACCAGAATCGAAGCTGGGACCTTTCAGTCTGCAGGCCAACGCTCTATCCACTGAGCCAAACCAGTTTTGGGTATATATATATATATATATATATATATATATATATATATATATAATCTTTCTTCTTCTTAAAGAAGATCTTTTAACATTTCATATAATACTGCTTTGGTGGTGATGAACTCAATTTTCTTGTCTGGGAAGTTTTTTTTATATATTCTTTGATTCTAAATGATAGCTTTGCTAGGTAATCTTAGTGGTAGGTCCTTGCTTTTCATCACTTAGAGTATTTCTTGCCAATCCCCTTTGGCCTGCAAAGTTTCTGTAGAAAAATTAGCTGACATTTTATGGGAACTCTTTTGCAGGTAATTAACTGCTTTTCTTTTGCTGATTTTTAAGTTTCTCTCTGTCTTTAACATTTTGCATTTTAATTATGATGTATCTTGGTTAGGGCCTTTTTTGGCTAATCTTGTTTGGGATTCTCTGTGCTTCCTGGACTTATATGTCTATTTTCTTTACTAGGTTAAGGAAGTTTTCTTTCATTATTTTTTCAAATAAGTTTTTTTGCTCTCACTCTTCTCCTTCCAACACCCCTATGATGTGAATATTGGTACACTGTCATAGAGGCTCCTTTCACTGTCCTCATTTTTAAAAATTTATTTTTTCTTTTTGCTATTCTGATTGGGTGTTTTTTGCTTTCTATATTCTAAATTATTGATTTGATTATCAGCTTCATCTAGTTGATTCCCTTTTATGACTAGGTCTTTTATATGGTTTCCATGTTCTTTTTTATGCTATTGAAGTTCTCTGTGAGCTCATCTACTCTTCCCCTAAGTTCATTGAGCATCTAGTATACTGCTTGCTTACATTTAGTTTATTTAGTTATTTTTCTGGAGTTTTGTTCTATTTTCTAAGTTGGGACACATTTCTTTGTCTTTTCATTTTGACAGACTCCCTGTGTTTGTTTCTACTTATTAGGCAGAGCTGCTATGTCTTCTGGGCTTGGTTGCGTGGCCTAATGAGGTAAGTGTCCTCTAGGACCAGTGGCACTGCCTCCTTGTTTACCTGTGACTGGCACTCCAAATAGGCCCACTATGTAAGCTGTGTATACTCTCCTGTTGTAGTTGAGCCTTGATTGCTGTTGACATGCCAATGGTAGTGATTTACCCCAAGATGACTGGCTGCAAGGAGTGGTTGCTACTATTGTGGAGGATCAGCTATGCAGAGGCCTACCCTATAGAGTAGGACTTACTTCAATAGGGCTCTGGTGCTCGATGAGTCTGTCTCTGAACTGTGTTACTTGTGAATGTGGTTGGATGGTGCTACAGTATGGTC